AATGTGTAAGCCTAAATATAGTCATGTGTGATCTTGTTTGATTTGTCTTAACCTATAGATTATTAATATATAATTTCTATGATTTTTTAATATACAAATTACAATATAAAATGGATTAAAGAAGTGTATTGGATGGTGTGCAAAAATGAAAATGGACAAATACTCTGAGACGGAGGGAGTATAAAATATTGATACAAAAATAATATCATTAGATTTGTTTTATGCAATAATTTTTAAATATTGTTTTATCCAATCTATACACTTTGTACTTTGTAGATTTTAAATAATTAAATGTAAAGGTTAAAGTGATTGACTGTAAAAAAAAATTAAAACTGAATAAATATTTAGAAGGGAGATAGTAATACCTAAGATTGGCAAGATGAGCTTGCAAACATTTAAGAATGGTTTGGTGAGCATGTCTCCATTTTGAGACTTGATTTGCTTCATTCCTTCTACAGCTGGGGTAAGCAGTGTTCCTCCTTCCATTATCCTCCCTTATTTACACAAAAACAAAGTAAAATTATAAATTTTTTTAAATTTAACTTATCTAAAAAAAAATTTTATAAATAAAAAAAATTAAAAATTCTGCAAAACACAAGAACATTTTTTATCAAATAACTAATAAAAACACACAATTAAACAAAATTCTTGATATTATTATTATTATTATATTATTTTTAGCTGATGAGGATGAAGATCAAATTAAAACAATGTCATGAATCCAACAGTTTAGACTAAGTTAATTTAACACCATAAACATCTCAACATTTTCCTAAGTTTTCCATACATTTTCAGCAAATTCTCAAAAAAAATTAAGCAACGTTGTTAATGTCAAAGGGATTATTTACAAAAAAATCGAAATCAATTAAATTTTGAAGTGCAATATTTTAACATTATCATTTGGAGAATCAATAATGTACAATTATCAATTTTTTTCAGATTATAACATGACATGGTGAAACGAATTGCAAAAACAAAACAAATAAATGTACCTGGTGCTGGCCTGATCAGATCGCAATGCTTAGGCCATGTTCATAATATGAATGAAGAAAATTAAAGATATTGTTAAGTTGGGACTTCAAAATGGAAAACTATATAAGAATTTTTAGTTTAAATGTGTATATTATTAACCTTTTGGATTTAGTTTTATTCTTCTTTGTGATGTGTCTTAAAAGGAATTCAATGAAAAATGCTTTATTTTTTGTAAAGGAATAAAAAATGTATCATACAATTACAAGAAATTGTGGTCATAACAATAACTATTGGCTACCCGTGATTTTGTGCGGTTCTTACTCCTATACCCACCCTGCTGAAGAAAGTCATAAAGGACATACCTCTCCTTCCAAAATCAAATTTATTTTTAATTTAAGCCCGCATGGATAATTCAACTGATCTAAAGAGAGGATGTCAAGCTCGTTGACTCTAGATTCGAATCCCGACAATGGCAGTATGGGAGTTCTATTATTTGTAATAGCCCATTGTATACACCGGACACGGAGCTATGACACTTTCGGTTAGATGACCACTTGTTTACAAACTTGATCTATAAATCTTCCCAAATGTAATGCAAAGCTCATCTGGGACTAAAGAAAAGCTCACCAATCTCAATACAAATACCCACTATTTTTTTAAAATAAACTTTAAAAAAAAGTTGGACCACCAATCAATCGCCAATCCATGGCAGCGGGGCGACCAACAGCAGACGGCGACGTCGGTGGCAGATGGTGGCGGCGACCGACAGTGATCATCAGTCAAAGTCCAGCCATCCTCTCTTCCTTTTTTAGAAAAAAAATCAAAGGGTGAAAAAATCAGAATGAGTTTGTCATACATTCTGATTAGTTTTACAATGGTTGTGGGTGAGCTTTACAACTGAAAGTGGTCAGCTCTGAATCATCTGACTATAGCATGTCATATCACCAAAACTTGTAATCTGACCTGAGTCTATTTCTTTTTTGAAAAATAAAAAAATGATTATCGATCTGTATATTAAGCAAATACAGATTTAGCTTGCTAAGATCCACAATGAAACTTAGGTTCATACCAGATTTTACCTAAATTCAATTATAGATGATTAAAAAGGACCGTAGAGGTCGAACCAGACTAGCCAGGTACCATTTAGGACGGGATTGGTGTAGACTTTTTTAAAAGAGTAAATTCCATAATTGGTCCTTTATAACAATGGGATTTCCTTATTTAGTCCTCTATTATCAAATATTACCCTCGTAGTCCTTTTTAAAGGGTGTCTTTCCACAAATGATCCTTTTTTTGATCTTCTGCCATGTTGGTGTTTATTTAAATGCTAAAAATATAATTTGACATCAACATTATGTCTAGTGATGTGTTCTGATATTGGTTAAGCGGATAACACAAAAATAATGACTATGATTGTGGGCTAAAATTCCGACGAAAGACCACATTTGTAGACTATGGTTATAGTAGAAAGCGACTGTAGTTCACAAACGACGCAAATGGAACAACCTTTGAAATTGTGTATGACAAAAAAGATATATTATCATTGTGAAATTATACTTTTGCCCCTCAAATTAACACCAATATGATTGAAGATCAAAAAAAGGACTATTTCTGGAAAGATACCCATAAAAGAAGGACCACTGGAGTAATATTTGATAATAGAGGACTAAATAGAGAAACCCCCCTGTTATAAAGGATCAATTATGGAATTTACTATTTTTAAAAATCATCCCAGACCTTCTTTAATGTTAAGCATTTAATTAATTAGAAAGTCAAATTACAAAAAATAATTTTCTCTTAAACCAAAATAGGAATGCTTTTAAAAAAACAGAAATAGTTTTTAATTCATAACTCTTTGTGGTTGCGGAGTATATTGATTAATGATTATTTAAGACAGCACTCCACATTATAAAAAAGGAGAGAAAAAAGAAGGAAGAAGAAAATGATTTGTTCCACCAAAGAAAAACGTAAAGAAGAAAGGTCCTACCGGGAGTCCCAGACCTTCTTTAATGTTAAGCATTTAATTAATTAGAAAGTCAAATTACAAAAAATAATTTTCTCTTAAACCAAAATAGGAATGCTTTTAAACAAAACAGAAATAGTTTTTAATTCATAACTCTTTGTGGTTGCGGATTATATTGATTAATGATTATTTAAGACAGCACTCCACATTATAAAAAAGGAGAGAAAAAAGGAAGAAGAAAATGATTTGTTCCACCAAAGAAAAACGTAAAGAAGAAAGGTCCTACCCAGAGTCGAACCCAGGTCGCTGGATTCATAGTCCAGAGTGCTAACCACTACACCATAGAACCCTGTGTTGTTCGATGTTTCCGTTTAATTTATTTAAACAATAAACTTTCCCACATACGGACCAAATCGTCAAAAGGAGGCATGAAACATTTCGAAAGTATGGTAAACGTAATTTAGGTATTTTCTTTTGGATGGTAATTTTAGAGTAGGATGTTCGAAGAAGTTTAAAGAAGTTGGAAAATATTAGAAAAATTAAAGGGTTAAAAAGTCATTTAATCAAATGATTACCCATATAAATATGTAAGAAAATTCTAATTTTGGATATAAAAATATTCATTCTTTTATGTGTTTGAGCCAATATCTTATAAATTTAAATATATAATGTTATTGTATATTCATCATATATACTCCATCCGTCCCACTGTCTTTGTTCACTTACCTTTTGGCACACCATCCAATGCACTTCTTTAATTCATTTTATCTTGTAATTTGTATATTAAAAAATTATAGAAATTATATATTAATAATCTATATGTTAAGACAAATCAAACAAGATCACACATGACTATATTTAAGCTTATACATTGAGAGAATTTGATGAGTCAAAGTGCTTAGATGAACAGTTCCAAAAGTCAAATGTGGACAAAGACAGTGGGATGGAGGTAGTAATATTTTTTTAAGTGTTCGTTGAAAGAAATTGGAAAAAATTAGATAGAACTAAAAGAAGTTAAAAGAAACTGAAAAATAATTAGAAATTAATTTTTTGAATTCAAAAGAATAGGACCTTAATGATTTTGAATCCATTTGTTTTTTAACACTATCAACTCAAAGACAAAAAGTCAATGTCTCCATTGAGATTTTAACTTCTAACTTCCAATTGAAAGCAAAATGATGTCAATGTACCACACGGTATTTGGCAAGTCTATGTGTCCTAATTTAAATCGTCTTGTTTCGGTTTACGATGTTTGACTGAAGCTATTTTCAAATCATTTTATTTAAAAAATGGTGTAGAATTAAAAAATAAAAATTATATATTTAAAAACTATATAAAAAAATCTACAAAACTAATAGTAACATGACTATATTATTTTATAAAATATCTAATGAAAATATGAAAATAAAGTAATAAAATTTGACCATATGAATAGTTAACATGCAATTTAAATTGGGACGAAGAGAATAATATATTTGCAAAGTGTTGTACTATTAGATTGAATTTATGTGAACTAAACCTAAATGAATTTATCTATACTAAAAGAAAAGTGAAAATAAATTTTAAAAAAAGAAGTCATAAAGGTAATGTGATGTGCTTGACAAATACCCTGGGGTATTATCCAAATTACTTTTAACCCTTTGTTTATCATGACTTATAAATTCAAATTAATAATGTTGTGTTGGATAAAACCTTTTGGTTTGAAGTTTAAAACCTCCCAATCCACACCCAACAAAAGAGAATTATACTCCTCATTTTGGCAATTTTTGGTGCATTAGAAAGTGCAAAAGTGACAAAAATAGTAAATGCTATCTCTTTTGAAAATAATATTCTCATTTGACTTTTTCTTATCAAAATTTGTAAATTTTGACTCTGATACATGAAAAAAATAGTGTTTCGATAAAAATGTAATATCAACAGTTTCCTGAATACTAATTACGTAGTACTATTTTTTTAAACCGAATAAAAATAAAGTGCGGACTGGTAACCTCTAAATTAACAATTACCTGATACCATGTTTAAAAAAATTAACTCAATCAAAAGCTCAAATTTTTGCGATCGTAGACCCAGCAAAGAATGTTTTTTACTTTAAGAGTCCTACATTAGACTTTTTGCAAGGGCAAAATCACGGATGTCTTAGATCATATATAGGGCAGGGGAATCCCATGTTTTTACTCAAGGAGCTAAAAGGAAATTCAATTAGCTTCTCACTCTATCCTCAAAAAGACCATCTATTACCTCTTCTGTTCCAGCACCAACTGGACTGCTCCCACTGATGTTTTTCAGCAGATTGTGGAATGTGTTCCTCAAATGTTGTCTCCCTTCCCCATCATTCCATANGTTTTTTACTTTAAGAGTCCTACATTAGACTTTTTGCAAGGGCAAAATCACGGATGTCTTAGATCATATATAGGGCAGGGGAATCCCATGTTTTTACTCAAGGAGCTAAAAGGAAATTCAATTAGCTTCTCACTCTATCCTCAAAAAGACCATCTATTACCTCTTCTGTTCCAGCACCAACTGGACTGCTCCCACTGATGTTTTTCAGCAGATTGTGGAATGTGTTCCTCAAATGTTGTCTCCCTTCCCCATCATTCCATAGAGCTTCAAGAACATCTGGAGGGTACACTGGTGCCGGTTGAGCTATCAACCGCTGACCCCCGATTTCAGTTCCGTTTAGCCTACGCATACATATAATATGATTACAAATTAGATGAAACAACCGTATTAACCATTGCATGATATGAGTAAGCATGAGGGGAAGACGAAGGAATGGAATGTGGGATTTACCTATTCAAGATTGTTGCCATGTTTGGCCATTCAGCAATATGGAAGTGCACATCGGTTGTGTCTCTATTTCTGCGCTGAAGCGACTTGACGTTCCCAAAAGATTTGCAAAGGGCGGGTAGTTCTTCCCTTGATGACCAAACAAAGTTTGAAATTCTTACAACAGTGGTTTTTGGTGCATCCACTCTACAGATCAATGACTTCCTTCCCAGTCCATTGATTGAGTGTCGAGTAAGAGCATTCTCTTTGTCTTCTTCTGTCTGTCAGATTTGCAGTTCCAATTAAAATATTGTGTGAAGTTGCTAGTTAAAAACAGCAGTTTATTATTTAACCCCCCACCCCACCCCAACCCCCCCCCCCCACCCCAACCAAAGAAATAAAGAAAAAAACTAACCTCAAACTCAACAAAAGCAACGTTTTGGGACGAACCAAAGAGCACTTGGGAGATCTTGGTTTTGGCGAAAGAAAAAGCGTGTTGGATATGATGAAACCTTGTCTCACGGGCTATGTCAGTGATCATAACTGTCAGCTTAGGATTCTTTACTAAGGCGGCTGGGACATCAGGGAGACCAATCAAATCTGGAATGGATGCCCTCCGCACACCTTTCAATGGAGTAGAAGTTGCTGGTCCTACAATTACTGTAGAACCTTTCACTTGCACATCAGTTCTTTCAAGAGCTTTTTTCATTCCTTCCTCAGACTGCAACACAACCAACCCGTTGGGTCAGAACATGTGATACTCTGTATTATAAATGGTCTATGTATGAGGACATTAAACCAACCTGTTGGGTCAGAACTCAGAACATGACTTATCTTAATGAACTTCTTTAGCATATATAATATGACGAATTTATTATGTTCAGTTTCATATTTAAATCGACACTGATGTTCCATACTCCCTCCATCCCAAACCAGTTCTCCCAATCTGAAATCACGGAAATCAATACACTGAGAAGTGAAAATAGAGTCCATAGAACTTGTTTAGAAGAGAGAAGCATTTTGGTTTCAAATGTAGGCAGTTGTATCAATGTTCTTTAAAAAAAAAAACTCCGTATAATGTCATTACTAAATAGTGATCATTGCTAATCTCCTGTTCTGCATAATGTCATATTAACTCACTTTTATGTGTTCTAAAAAAAACTCACTTTTATGCAATCTTCAATATGACATTTATAATTACTCGAACAAGTTTGCATGAAATTTTTCTAATCAATCACAAGTTACCTAATCTTACCAATTTATCTTTATTTATTACTCCGTAACTTGTTACACATTTAATACAACATGATTTACAATGCCTTTTTCACCGTGAATTGTATTTAATGGCAACACGAAAGATAAAACATAAAGACTTTATATTTGATGCTCCTGCTCCATCAATTTCTTAAGTGATAATCATATAACAAGAGCCACCAAAAATTTAAAAGTGACAGATATGTAGTTTATCGGACCAGATCAAATAAATGTTCTTCGAAAGAACTAACCTTAAAATAAACGTAGGCAGAACCATAGGAAGAACTTATTGGAGAGGATACCAAAACCTTTGAAATATCACTGAAGGCCTGAGCAATGTCTTTATGTTCAACAAATTTAGGCAAAAACCTCACTAACACTTTGTTTTGAAGAGATTCCTTCTCAAACGAATTTGCACCATTCCTGGTCTGCTGATTCACATTACCCTTCTCTCTCACAGGCTGTACAACTTCAGAATGTGGAGAATTTTTCTTTACCGGCACGAAGAGATGGTGTAAAGGAGATGCATTTCCTTCTTTCTTCTCAAAACTTGGAGTAATTACTGATCTGCCACTCCGATCTTCACTGCCATTGTTACAAATCTTGGTTTCCCTAGGCCTATCAATGGGCACCTGAGGAAGGGCCTTAAGGCAACCAATTAATCCATTTATATCAGAACTCGCATCCCCAGAAACATCATGGAAAGGTTCAGTTGACTTGTCAAGGAAACTGGTGATAGAACTGTCCAGCAAATTTTTAGTTTCTTCACTTGGAACCAAAGTATTAGAAGGCGATGCTTCATCCAATCTTGTTGAATTCCTAACCTTAATGACTGATATAATTCCTGAGAATATATCTTTGTTTTCCGTTTTCTGATTACTACTATCATTTCTTGATGGTTCACAGTTCTGCAGTTGTTGCACAAATCCTGGAACAGTCTGTGACACTATCTTTGTACCAACTTCTGGTTCTGAATTTATAGAAAGGTTAACATTGTCAGAAACAGATTCAATCTTTGTACCAACTTCTGGTTCTGAATTTATAGGAAGGTTAACATTGTGAGGAACAGACTCGGCATCTGCTTTGTCAGCATGCTGGTGAATATGTGCTCCATCACCACTACTATCATCAACCCTGTGTGACATAATATTGCCAGAAACTTTAGCTTCATCAGGGGATTTTTGCTCTTCAGATTTTCCTGTCAATTTCTCCTTTATGAACTCAAGCATTCCCTTCAAGCTATGCCATGAACCGCCCACTTCCTTGTGAACGTGAATTGTTTTGGGGAACATACCTTTATTTTCCTCCATATATCTAGTATGTTCATATTTCAAATGCTTCAGAATATAGAATGGAAATAATCATCATTCAAATTTCACATGATAAGATATATAAACTTTATGGTGTTCTTCATAGACCGTTCTGCCCAGGCCAAAAATTTTAAATCAAATTAAACAGCAACAAACCAGACCAGTATGATCCCACGAAAGTAGGCTCTCATGAGGTCGTGTGGACCCAAACCTTGCCCCTACTCGAAAATTTTAAATAAAATTAAAGTGAAATAATTATTATCATCAAGACAAAGGATCAAACAATTTGGTGGTTTGTATTAATTACACCTCGTCGAAGGTGCTAAACAAAAAATAATAATACATAGCACTCACAACTACACAAAAGGTAGCAACTACTTTAGAAATGACATGAAATCCCAAGATCTGTAACACCCTTAGAAAATACTTGATGCATCAATTTCACCCTAAAAGACACTTAGGCAATGTTTGGAATCCAGAAAATGGTATGGAAAGATGGGGGAACTAAGAGTAACTTATGTAAATTACTATAAATTAGAACAGTCAGTATTTCAAAAACATGCTGAAAGAACTGTCTTGCAATTCTTTTGTTTTTTATGTTTAATATTGTTATATTAGATGGCTAGCGGGTGGCATCCAACACCACCACCCCGAGATACCGGAAACAATATGACAGACTAGAAGTAGGATTATCCCGGTGCCTCAAGGCTCCCACCCATTAGAGGGTAAGGGAGGGTTGGATGTACGCAACTTGACCCCTATGTTCAAAACAAAAAAAAATAGAGCAGTTTTTTCAACATGACCCATGATGAGCAATGAAAGTTGCACTGACCAGGTGCTACTTCAATATAAAAGGACAAACAGTTTAAAAAGTCATTTTGCTTTATTACATCATATCCCAAATCCAAAAAATAGTGAAACTTTGGCTCCATTAGAGATGATGGAAAAGTAGTAGGATTAAAATAACAACAAACCCTGCACATTCCCAACAACGTTGGGGTGTGGTGCTCGAAATGTATGTAATCTTTCCTCTCTAAAAAAAAGAGATTGTTCCGGTTAGACCCTTGATGTATTGATGCATTTTTTTCCAATGTTTCATAGAGGGTGAGACGCAAGGAAAGTTTAATTCGCCATTTTGATTTAGTCCATTATTTACGCAAAGCAAAAACCTTGTCAAAATGGGCTATTTTGACTCCATTGGCAATGAAGGCATACTGGTAGTAAAAGTATGATAGGAATATGATGTATATCACTTATGATGATGTCAAGGAGTGCAATGCATGTGTTTATATACAAAATAAAGAGAAGAAATTAGGACCAGTATGAATGTGAGAATAATAGATTAGATTGTAAACTGTAGACGTATCCTAATATTTCAATACTTCACCTGGAAGCGAAGTAATAAATGGAGATGGTTCATCGCTTTCCATTCACTGATTACTGAGGTTCTGCAGATTTTGCAAGAATCGTGGAGATATCTGTGATGCAATCTTTGTAGGGACTAGGGAGTATTAAACTATTCTATTGATTTTGAATTAACTTTTTGTATGCCCACAAAAAAAAAGTTCTAACATTTCCTTCTATTTCCCTAGTTTCTTTCTCTATCATTTAGCAGGTTCCAAGCACACCGTTAATGATTTGAAGACAACACTTGATTGGAAACCAAGTCCTTCCAAGCACTCTAAAATTGATAGCCTCAACATAAAGCGGGACTTTCCGAGAAACACATTAACATTGAACAGAAGTAGAAACCACTATAACTCAAGACCTAATGTACAATTTTAAAGTACACATTTCCTTCACTTATGAAAGATCCACAAATGGTCATGTACATAAAGCCAACCCTAACCGATATTTCTTAAGCAGGCTTAAAAGCATGATTTCCCCTCAATAATTTTCACACAGAGGTAAACTAAGCTTCACATCCAAATAAAGATTAAAAGACATTGGTGTTTTCAAAATCCCAAGTTACTTAACAGAGATCCTAGGTTGCAACACCAACAGAAATGTAGCTTGATATCGATTGATTAATTATAAAAAAAAACATAATTATGAAGGATGCTTAGCTACATTTGCGGTAATCTGACAATAATTTTGAAATGAATAACCAATGCAGATTTCTGAAAAGGGGGAGCTCACTTCCTAACAAACGACTCCACAATTTCGGTTTTTCGCTGCTTGGCAAGCTCAGATTTCTTCGGCTGTGGATCCTTCTCGCTGCTTCCATCAGAGGCGGCCAACGAAGAGCACAACATTCTCGTCCGTACAGATCCTATGCGAATTATACACACATAAACATAGGAAAGCACAAAAAGGAAACAGAAAATTGGAATTGTAAAGCATAGCAGAGCAGAGATTTGAAGAAAACCGGATTTCGTGAAATGGATAGGGAGTTGTTTACCTATTCTGGCGATATGCGAGGCACACCTGAGCCGAAGGAGATGAGAAACAGCCATTTTTGCTGCTTCTAAGAGGAAAATGCAGAGGGGTTTTCGAGGGGGTTTTCCGGAGGTTTAAGGGAGAGAAGAGCTGCAGAACGTACCGGTGACAGTGTGACATTGGCTGAGTTTGAATGGTTTGACCATCTGAATATATTTGGTAAAATTAACAATTTGTAAATAATTATTTAAAAATTTAAAAATTAAAAGTATATATACATGCATAGTACATATCATGCATAATATACACTCTCACACATTATTTGTAACAAAACATATACAATATTTGTTTTTATTTTTGTCTTCTAAAAATTAAATCTTTAATATGTTAAATTATATTTTTATATAATTCATAAGAAATTGATAATATACAAAATTTTAATGAGATGTAGTACGATAGTTAAATTGGAGGGCACCAATAATGTAAGTTTTTTTTCACTAAGCCAATTTTAGAGAGAATGAGTAAATTTTTCTATTTTTTCTTAATAAAAGATATTTTTTTATTTTAAATGTTTTCAACTTTAATTTTATTTACATGTAATAATAAAAATCTATAAAGAAAAATGATAAAAAAAATATGATGGGCTGAGAATAAGGAATATTCTACAATGGAATAATATTGTTATCATATCACGATCAGAAACAAATTTTACAAAGATGTCTAGAGGGAAACCTTATAAAGTCACATCTGAATATAAATGGTTGCAAGGGGAGAAGATCACACCTAAATGGAAAGATTGGGTATGAAATAACCTCACACCTCTTAAATTTCAAACTATACTATGGATGTTATGGTGAAGGAGACTGCAAACAAATGATTAAATCTGTAAGTTCTTAACTATTAATACATGTAAGCTATGTGGAAAGAAGATTGAAATTAGGCTAACACTTTTTATGGGCTTGTAATATTGCACAAGGAATATATAAAGTAGTGTGGAGGGCTTTGCAAATGTACATCAAAGCAAAATTGGAAGGTTAGAATTGAGGTTATGCATCAAAAGAGGATGAAGATTGAAGAAGTGATCAACCATATTATTTTCAATATTATAAGTTTATTTTCAGAAGAGTGATGTAGCTAGTTTTGGGTAGTTGATTCATATATTTTCTATGTTGGATACTAAGGATGATGGTAATAAATTGTGATTTGTGGTGCTAAAAACTGATTAAAAAAATTAATTTGTCTAACAACCAAGTCCATAAGCTATTCCCTTGATTTTTTAAATTTTGACTTTTCAGATCATACATCTAAATAAAACAAGTCATTATTTACCAAACAAAGTGAAAAATCAGCCAAAAAAATTAAAAGCTAGTCGAAGAATCATTTTCTATTTCCCAAACACGCCCACTATGGTGTGGCCTACTATGCTTCCTAAATTACCTAATAAATCTCCAGTCCATTATCCCAAACTCAAATCTAAAAATGTTCAAATTAGCTTTTGTGCTCAATTAAGACATTATACTATTCTCTTTTGTTCAATCAGGATATTCTCTTCACTTGTCTCTTATTTATTGCCCCAAATTCTTATTGATAACATCTAACTTTACTATAGATGATAAAATCCTTGTCTTGACATTTTTATTCATGCATATTAAAAAAATTACTAAGAAAAATTAACATCATTTATTTTCTTTTATGAAAAAAAATTAGGAAAAAAAATTATTTATTATATGATAACTAAAATCAATATAAAAGTATGAATTATTATGTTAAACAATTTTTCCATGTCATCTACAGTAAAAATAGACATTACTAAAACTTTGGGGTAATTTATAAGAAACGAGTGAAGAGAAAGATTTGATTGAAAGAAAACAAATAGTACATGGACTAAATTGCTTCAATTTTGAATATAGGGACTAGTTTAAACATTTTTAGATTGTACAACTTATAACGTATTCTGCCCTAGCTTTTTGCATTGATTTAAATTACTTCACTACATTAAATGGTATGAACCATCATTGATAGCTTTTAATTACAAGGTTACCATGACCATGATGTATGGCACATCCAGTTGTTAGAACAACGTAATGTTCATACTAAAAACATTTTTTGCATCCAGTTGTACTTGTTGCTTGTACTTGATGCTTTATCTGTGCTATACTGTGTTCCCTTCCATATTTTTGTGCAAGTGGAGCCGAGGGTCTCTTGGAAACAGCCTCCCTACCTCCGAGTAGGGGCAAGGTCTGCATACACAACCCTCTCCAGACCCTACTGTTGTGGGATTCACCTGGGTTATTGTTGTTGTTGATTTAAATTAGGGGGAAGTTAGAGAGTATGAATCATCTTATTTACCAACGGGGGCACCATAGGTGTTTCAAATGAACTAGTCTAAGCAATTGACATCAATTACTCTAGTGTCATTTAAGACTTCCTCAATAATAATAATAATAATAATAATAATAATAATAATAATAATAATAATAATAATAATAATAATAATAATAATAATAATAATAATAATTAATAATAATAATAGAGGTCAAGTTGTTACAAATAGGTAAGGGCGTGATGAGGAAATTTCCAAATCAAACAACCAGAAATAATGTCTGAAACTTGAAACAGAAGATGCTCTTTCTTTAAGATGCCAGCTTCTTTTCAGTCGTCTTGCTCCGGAAAGGAGATAACAGAGAAAAATGGCGAGCTGCATCCAAATTAGAGAAGAACACAATTTATTTATACAAAAGAAAAACATTTCAAAAATCAAGAAGCCAAAAAATAAATAAATTATGACATTTACTTACACTTTTGAACAGCATTTCCAGTGTTTGGGACTTCATCTTGAGATATTAAATTCTTCAATGTGTAAACTGGAAGAAACAGTTTGAATGGTTAGCTTACAAACATGAGAACACTTAACATGGAGTGTGTGTGCACGCGCATGTGTGTGTGGATTATATAAACTAAGATATATACTGTAAACAAATTTGATTTTCCTAATTCCATAACCCAAACATTAAAAAAAACAATTTCATAAGCAATTTTTTTTCTTTCCCTGCAAATATGCAATTTCATGGTATCCAAAGTCTTGTTACCTTCATTTGATGAAGCAGTACTTGTTGCAGTATGCCCCTGATTTACACCAACAACACGCTTGCTGTCTGGTTCAAGATTTTTATCACTTGCCACAGGTGATTGGTTCTTCTTCCCAAATTTCAAGAGTCGTTTGAATCCTTTCGATGTTTCCTTAGATTGAGTCTTCTCCGAAGCTTCTTGAACATTATATGTTGCAGTTATAGTCTTCACGTCATCAACATTTACTTTATCAGGTTCTGGGGATGCCGAATTTCCAGTACAGGGTTCTTCTAATGAGGAGACCCGAGCATATGGGGCTTGATAGTAAGGCCTTCCAGCACCATCAATATTTGCAAATTTGGGTGTCTCCTCAACAGAACTTGCTCCTACCTAAAATTTACGCATAAAATATTACTCCCTCAGTCCCATAAAAGTGTCAAATTTGAGCAAGGCACAGCTTTTTCCCTGTGAATTCCATCTTTTTAGTCAATCCAATCTAGACACAAGATTTTACAAGTTATGAATGGTCACTTTACCCAAAAACTTTTTTTCATGAGTAATTGACTACAATTACTTGATGTTTGGCTTTACAACATTATTTTGCTTTTAAAACTGATTCTTCTTTTTTTTTTTTTACAAAGTTCTTAAAATATGATTCTTTTGTTCGAATGGAGTACGTTTATAGGTATGACGGAACTCTAGAAGTTGGTACATATTAAATCTTGACTACAAATAGCATGGATGGCCTTACATGATAGTATTAGTGTGTGTGTGTGTGTGTGTGACTGCCTCTGAACATAGCCCTCCAAAACCATTCCCTTCCAAACCCCTCCAAAACTTTCAATACAGACAGGCCCTTAAAGCAGCTTAAACAAACGTATCTACTACAAATTACCTCCTGAGAATTAAGTTGTTCGAGAAGGCGGCCAGGAATAGTTCCCCTGATAAATCCTTCAAAGGGCGAAGGCGGTGCGTCTATGAAAGCATAGTCAGATGCCACTGCAATTTTTGCTCCCCTATCATCAATATCAGATTGTAGATTGTGCTTTACCAAATTTTTTACGGATCCACTGGGCGAAGGTAAAGACTGTTTTTCACACTCGAGCATAACAACAGTCTTCTCAACGATGATTTCATCTCCTTGACTCTCCTGTGAAAGTTTTCTGCTTTTCATGAATGGAGGTCCAGAATCTTTAACCTTGGACGTTCTTATCTTCAGTTCAGGAAGAGTAGCAGCTTTCTTCTTATCAAGGTCCATCAGAGCTGATATCTTCTTGCTTTCATTGACATCATTTAGCTTGGACTTGGATGCTAATTCAGAATTGCGCCCCCTTGGCTTTGATGCTACACTGCTGAGTGTTTTGGGCTCAGATAATCTTCTGAATCTTGCCCTTGATGTTTTTGAATCAGGTGTGACACTGCTAGTTTCCTTATTGGACACAGACAATGATGTTGCTGATTTAGTCAACCGATTATTTGCCAGATTACCATCACTTCTTCTAGAGGATTTAGAAGCTTTTTGTGAATCATTGGAGCCGATGGGAGTTCTTCTTTTGGATATCTGTAAAGGTGATGATGATCCTGGCTCTGCATCACTGAATTTAGATCCTTTAACAGAATTTGGAGACACTTTTGTGGCCAACCCTCTTGTTTGAGATGAAGCTGAAAGAGTAGAGCTTGAGCTGCCTCTTGCTGCAATTCTCTTTTGTCTCTCCAACTTCAAAGCTTCTAAGCGTTTAAGGTCAGCCTCTTCCTGTTTAAAAGGTAAAGAAGTCACACATCTAATTCGACTGGAGAATAGATCAACTATAAAAAAAAATAATGAAAATAATAGAGAGTGAGATGCATGATGTATTTGTGGTGTTTATGCCAGCCCAGCATCAGAAAACATTGATAGCATGGGCAGTTCACTTGACTATCAACAACATCTCAATAATACATAGTTTCGGCCCAGCATCAGAAAACAATAATAACATTAGCATCATCTCTGGATACTTTCAGACCAACACTTTTCCAGTAAGTCTGTTTGAAACCCGGGAAATGATGGGGATAATATATGCAGGGGAAAAAAGGAAATTTACA